CGGGGGCAAAGCTATAAAGAAGCCCCCGAGGTAAGAAACTAGCAAAAACACCACCACCGGTCACGCCCGCGCTGTGCCGCGAGCTGCAAAGACAAGCGGCGTGGGGTTTGGAGGCGTCCACGCTTCTCGTCGGGGAGAAAGGGTATTTTCCTCTTTAGCATAAGTCATTCGCATAGTGTCTTTAGAGCCAGCAGAAACTGTAGCTTAATTTTTTTCTCTCTCTTTTCCTCTGTATCTTTTGGAAAGAAGTCTTTGGAATTTTGGAGAAAAAGAAAAGCGTCACTTAACGACCCTAGAGTTTTCGCAGCTGAAATAAATGAGTGGCCAACGCACTGTTCCTAACAAGGATCTAGAAAGTTTCCAGCCAGACTGAAGGGCAACTGTGTCCGACTTAAAGGGACAATGGTGACTCGTTTTGTGAGATGCATACGGCAAAGAATAGAGCCAAAATCCTTTGAAAATATTTCAAACGTTAAAGAAATTGTTGCTTATTTACATCCTTCTAAAGTTTTTGGACTCCACTCTATTAAAATGTGTTCATTTCTTATGACCTTTATTTGCAAGGAAAATTGTATCTATGCTTTGAGTGTCAAATTGCAATAACGAATTTCAGAAAGCATTTTGTCATTGGAAATGTGTCTACATATAATAAAGTAACCAAACGTCTGTGTTCCAAACAAAAGCAGAGAACTGTACTGAGATTGTATTGAGATTTGAGATTTTTAATGGATTGCATCCATTAAAAAGATGCAGCATTGTATTCATAAGATACCAACTAAGTAATTTAAATATTGAGAGGAAAACTGTTTTGAAACCGAATAAGCTTTTGTTTCGTTGTTTATATCTTCAGATTTTAGAGGCCTTTTGTGAAAGGCATTGTTCCTTTATAGCCGAAATACTGACCCCCTTGTTCATACCACAGTAGCTCAATAAGGATGAATCCTTAAGGCACCAAAAATTAAACATAAATTGAGTTCAAAACAACATTCAATTTACTGTTGGATATAATGGTAGTTGTGGCTAGGCTAAATGAATTTGTTTAAATTCTTAATGGCCATAAAAGAGATTTTAAGGTTATTGCATATCACTTGTTTGTATTTAATTATTCAATAAAATGTGAGCGAGGCTTGAAAAGCTCCTGCATGATATTTAATATCATAAGGGACGTCACTCCTTAAACATCTCTGTTTTTCCTCAGTAATTTTTAAAACTTGAAATTTGAACTGGAATTTAAATCACTTTCTTCCAAGTGAGACTTTAAAAGAAGCCATAAGTAACAGGTGCTGGCTTTCACTGTTGACCCCTTTGGGTTCTGTATAAAAGCGGTCCCCGAGCAAAACACATAAACCGACTTTATAGGTGAACAGTTTACACTTTCAGAATGAGCCCGGGAAATACAGTTTTAACGTATATAAACCAGAAACCACCCAGGATTAGAATTTTTTAAATTTAAGTTACATTAAAAATAGTTTTAAATGAACATCTATTCTGTTCAGTTTAGTTACTTAAGTCGTCATTTTCTTTTCCTAAATAAAGCTTTATAAGACTATGCCAGATGAAAATAAGAGACTCGAACAAAGCCAGAAAGCCAGGGGAGCTGAAGTTCATCTAAATATTTCAGCTGCTGAGTATCAGCGTGAATGGTCCTTAGATATCAAAACAGCCAAACCAAAACTCAAGTGTGTACAACCAGAGTGAATAGTAAAGCAAATTTTACCCGACTTCTTCATTAAAAATGTACCGATCATTCAGAAACACACTGAATTTAGGTCTAAGTCAGAAGAAATACATTCTCGTATGAAACAAGTGATCCAACGCACTAAAGTTGTTTTTGTTTTTTTTTTCATGTTTATTGTGAAAACGGTGATCTCGTGAAGTCTGCATACCACATATCAGGCATTACTTAATACCCATTTTGATGGCTGTTTACATCATCTAAAAATAATATGACAACTGGTAGCATATATACATCCTTTTCAAAACTGCTGAAAAACAGAAATAATGTGATTCAAATACATGTCGCCGAGGAGCTGGGATCCGCTCTTAAATGACAGGATGGTAAACTTTACGTGTTGGCCAGATAAAAAGAAATTGCTAAGCCTCTTTTTTTCTGTATTAAGATAATGAGTCCTAGGTGATAAAGTAATAAGACCCAATACATTAAATCAGAATATTTACATAAGTTCAATGTTTTAGACCAAACAAAAACGAAAAGGAGAAAGCATGGAATCATTCTTATTCTAAATTTAATTTTTTTTCTATTGCTTCTTAATTACAAGCATTTCAAAGACTTTTTAATAATACAGTAACTTTTAAACTCCTAGTGGAGATGAGGTGAGGTAACATTTAATTAAAGCAACAAGTTACCCCAGGTATGTGAAAATACCTTGCTGTTAGTTTCAGGGATATTTTGTACCATTCGACAGGGAAGAAGCTTGGGTAATTGTCTTAAGAAAGTGCTCTCTCATCTGAAAGTTGAAGTTCAATGTAGTTTAAGACGTTTTCTCTTTGGGCCATTTTAAAAAAAAAAAAGATTGTATTGAATTATTTTAAGTTACACCAATCCTCTGGAAGCTACCTAAAATGAAAAGGCTTTTTTAAAAAAATGAATAAATAATTTTTATATCCTTTTCTAAATTACAGGAATACTTACTGATAACACTAAAGTTACTTTTATTAGAGCCTACTTCTAACTTAAAGATCAGTAACAAGTCACCACCACTGACAAAGTTATCTACGGATAGGAAACTGCACATTTAGTCAGAAAATAAATCATTAACCTGTAATTCCAATTACACAAAGATAATGAAAACAAATGATTTGTCTCCAGAAACCATGTGTTAAAGCTGATTTTTGGACAAAGAGACTGTATTTCTTAATCTACATATTGCAAGCCTAAGCAAAGTCACTGGCACGGTTTCTGTTTTGTCTGGGATGTAAACATTATTTTAGCGTGTCTCTGTTCCCATCTAAGTGTGAAACAGAATACTGGCAAGGTTAAACTCTCTTCCAAGAGTCCAAATACCCAAAAGCAAAGTGTCTTCCCGGTGCGGGGGAGGTACCCACAAAATACCAGCCCATGTCTGAGCGAGGCCGTCTGGTCTAGGTTGTCAGTCTTCAGAGTGGTTAAGCTCATACGTGCTGTGTTTACGCGAACACTGCCCCGTTGATTCAAAAAGGAATCCACTGTCTGGATTTCAAATGCTAACTATTTACCTATATTTTCAAATTCAGTAAAAGCAACCAGGTTGTTGTTGTTTTAAACACATACACCATGTCATTTGGGAGCAGGATCTTGTTTTACCAATAATGTTGGCCTGTATAGGAGAGAGTTGCAGTCACAGGCCTTTAGCTTTTTACGGAAGCTTAGCCAAAATAAGACAACATGAAAACAGCATGAGTAAACAACCCAACGTCTTAAAGAATTTAAGTGCCTACTATCATGACAGTGAGCTTTAGGTAAAAATAGATCATGAGCGGGCTTTCTCCTCTGTGACTGGACATAATTTGCTGTTCCGAAGATGGTCATGTTAGAATTCTTTTTCAGGATTCCTGCAGAGCCGTGCTCGTTTTACACCCATGCGAACTGCTGTCATCACTACTGTGGCCAAACCCGGAGGATGAACTGGAAAAGAAGAGAGGGGGGAAAATAATAAAAAGAGGAAATTGGTTTTCACAACACACTCAAAGCCTGAGTAACAGAGGAGAACTTTAATTATCTCCAGTCACAAAGAGAGACAGGAAATTTGGACTTTTAATTAGCCATTTGGAGTGCAGTTGGATATTTTTTTAGCTAGATAATTTAAACGCGAATAATTCAAGTCTGACTAAATGAAAGTCACATAATCAGAATGCAGATAATTGAATTTCTACTGCATTCATTAATTCAGTGTGGAGGTGTGTGTGAGGACTCCTATGATGAGCTGTCACAACTCAATAAAATCTCAGTCAATTAATTTTTTCATTATCTTAGGATTACATCAACAAAAAAAGGGAAGCATGTGTAGAGATCCCTACACATGCATGTGTGTGCTACGTGTCATATAAATACGTACGTGTTACGTGGAAATGCAAGGAAATACCTTTCTGAACCGTAATCTATATTGTTTTCTTGTTCTCCGGCTTCATCTTCTTCAGGGAAGCGCCTGTTCATCAAGGCGAACTTGTGAATTGCTTCCTCTACCGAGTACTTCGTCTGCCCAGAAACGCACGCCTCGATGTCTTCCGCGTTCAGGTGGCTTTGCAAGAAGAGGTGCAGGCTGCTGTCTGAGAGCAGGAGCGCGTTGTGTAGGACCCTGTGTAAGAGAAAACAGGAGAGAGCGTCAGTGAACGGGGATGAACACCTATAGGGCAGGAGAGAGAGAAACAGCCAAAAGGAGCCACCGAAGTCATTTCTTGACGGTGGCCAACTTTGCATCCATGATGCTCTCTGCCTATTAAAAGGGACGGAAGCATATGTTAACGTCTATTCAATTATTTGGGAATTTAGGTGAGTAAAAACATGAAGCTGATGGTTAAGAACATCTGTGAAAAGAATAACTTCAAGGACATTTCTTCCATGTAACCATCTGTTACGGCCATGTGGATTAATTACGGAAATATTTTGCTTATGGAGTCATAGAAATGTATTCCACTTGAAAAAAGAATTTTTTTTTTACTGCCAACCAGCATGTCCATTCTGTGATCTTTATGGGCTAGGGGCTGTCCGGACACATCAAAACTTTCAACTACTATTAAAAGTTCTATTAAAAAGTCATCTCTTTGTTGGAAAAACTTCACAGCTTTGCTTCTGTACAAGTTTACAAGGGCTCAGTTGAGAGCTGGCTTTTTTTGAATACCTAAAACTAACCAGAAATTTCTCCAAAATCTTCAGTGGAACAAAGAGAGTACAGATTTCAACTAGTCCCTCAGAACGGCAAGGGGGAGCAAAAACCAGCCTGTAGCCGAATCTACACATGCTCAGGTTCACATTATCAGGGAACGTGTTTTCTCTGCCAAAGGACACCCTCACATTTAAATAAAAACAGCTTTTAACTTTTTAGCCAAGACTTTTATGTATGATAATTTTGTCTCTGTTCATAGTTCAATAACGATATAATGATGGGATACTAACACCAGTTGTAGGAGGCGAAACTAAAATACGAAACCCTAAGTATAATTTTGCCCAACATGGGATTTGTCATGCATGCATTTTTTTAACAAGTTACTAGAAAAAGTACATCCCTCTTGGTCATTCACATTTAAAGTCCAAGAACATTAGAATATTTCCTTTGCCTCAAAATGAAACAGAATCCTTTTTTCAAGAAGGCAAACATCTAGAAAAGCGCAGTCTCCACACCACAAGGTAGCCATCCCCTAGGCCAGTGATGGCGAACCTATGACACGCCTGTCAGAGGTGACACGCGAACTCATTCTTTTGGTTGATTTTTTTTGTTAAATGGCATTTAAATATATAAAATAAATATCAAAAATATAAGTCTTTGGTTTACTATGGTTGCAAATATCAAAAAATTTCTATATGTGACACGGCACCAGAGTTTTAGGGTTTTTCAAAATGCTGACACGCCGAGCCCAAAAGGCTCGCCATCACTGCCCTAGGCTTACAATTGTAGTTTTAAAAAATACTCTTTACTGACGGGCGGGAAGAAAACGTAAAACCGCTGCGTTTTTTTAAAAGGCAAAATCTCAGGCCACGCAGCTCACACTTCCTCTCCCTCCACATCACATGATGAAGACTCATTTACCGAGTACACGCAGGAACGTGGCAAGCTCCTCTTACTATTGAGATTTTCCACATTTACAATGTTTGCCGCTCTTGCTTTAAATCCTTCAGTTCCAGAGGACGTGTCTGTGGCCGGGACCCACTCACAGGAACTTGAATTCACTGGGAAGTTTGAACGGAGTGTTTCCTGCCAGCCGTGGTGCAAGTAACTGGTTCATAGGATTATACTTACTGCTTTGTTTCTGGTGGAAATGTGTTTTATTTTCTTTATAAAATAATAGGTAATCTTTAAAATTGATTTTAGATGGTTCAAGGCATTACACCGCAAAAGTAATGAGCACTAATGCCAATGATATTGGACACAAATTCATTTTAGCTTTATTTCACGTCTAAAGCAATTCTACTGAGCCTTGAACGGCTCAGGCACGGTTATTAACTCGCTGGTAACCTAACACATGGGTACAGCAAACCAGAGTGATCAGAGCCCAGGTTCGTCGGGACCTCAAGGCTACTGTCTTTTTTCCTGAGCTATAATTCAATTTCCAATTTTACTGTACATTAGACTCATTATTTCTCAGTGTTTTCTGCTGAATACTGCCATCTGGAGGACACGCCGCTGAACAGCGAGAGGGAGCTGGACACACCCAGCTCTCAATTACGAAGTGAGAGAAACGTGTGGCTGGGGAGGGGACCCCAAAATCGGTACATCTGCGACCAACTCTGGGTTTTTTAATTCCCTCGGCCTGGCTGGCTACATGCATGCCACTGTGCTTCACGGGTATGAGTTTTAAACATGCCAAAAAAAATTGTAATATATTTATGATTTTTATCTTTAGTCAGATATTTCCTTCCAAAATTAAAAATACAGTCGAGAGCGTTCCCCTCCTGGTTCGGTGAGCATGACTAGTTCATTTAACATTATCTCTGGCTTAATACATATCAGCGAGCGTTGTGACTGCCATCACCACAATATTAAATCCTATTTTTACCTTAGTCATATTTGCGCCGCATTTTCCACAAACAAATCAAATCGCAGTAAATCAGCTTCAAACTTAATACAAAGAGTACTTTGTAAAACAGTCAATAAAATGTCATCGTTATAAGCCTCCATAAAAATAACTGTATACAATGTTCAAGCCTTTACAAAAGGAACAAAAAACGGCCTCTAGAATGTTACAGGAATGTGTGAAAAGCTATTTACCACACGAGTCAAAAGTTATCCCTTTCCCCATAAGAACGTTAACCCACACAAAGCAAAACCTGTTTTTCCCTTGAATTGGATGCAGTCGAAAAATCTGGTTTTCCTCCACGTGATTTTATTAGGTGTATTATGTATTGGTTCAGTTGAGAACAACATATAGCTATGCAAAAACACTGTATCCACCTAAGGGCGCCCTGGCTCTGCTGTGCCCAGCACAATGGCATACCTACGCACTTGTATCGCCCCTGGAAGGTTAGCAGTTTGATGTAGGGGGAAAATTTTAATTCAGCCTGTTTACCTCTTACCATGAGAAAAAATAAAGCCCAAGCCGACAAATCTTCATGGAAGGCATTCATGAACTGTGCTGTGGTGCCCTCTATTGAACACAACGACATAAAAACTGTGTGTGTGTGTGTGTGTGTGTAACTAACAGTGTCTCCATGGTATCCTTTGGTCAAAAACTGTAATATTCCTTTAATTTTAAAGAAATACAAAACTGTAATACAAAAGCCTACATTATAAGGTCCGAGTAGTTAGATTAACGGGATGGATTCAGTCAAGGAGGGCTGCTCCCATTGTGACATCAATCAAACGTAAAAGCTAGTTGGAGTGCCATTTTCACGGGTGGAGTCTTACCAACAGAATTTATAATTTTAGTCTATTTTTGCCATAACTATTTGTAGAAATGACTGACAATTTATAAATATCCGGGGGAGGGGGGAGGAGTCCAAAAGGGAGATTATAGCAAAGATTGAGGAAAAATAAATATATTTAAATATATTTGAAAAATCTCACAATCATACTGACCAAATATAGCATTTAAGAGTTCTACTAACTGTAATATAGTGCCTCCACTTTTCCTATAATTTCCTTGTCTATAAAATTGAGACAGGAAATTATATGATGGTCGTTACTGAGATAAAAACATGAAAGCTATACATATAGCAAGTGTTCAATAAATGGTATAAATTATTTTTTTGGCACCCAGTGAAAGAAACAACTTTCTAATTCCTCCATGAAGATTGACCTGGATATGTAGTTCGCTATTAAATATGTATTGTTTCTCCAATGACCTTAAGTGAAAAAAGCTGTTATATTACATACACACACATGCCCGAAGACAGTTGGATTTTGAAGGGTTTGAACATATTAAGTGCCCTTGGCTCATAACTTCCAAACATACATAAAAACCGGATTTGTAGCCGAAACCGGTTTGGCTCAGTGTTTAGAGCGTCGGCCTGCGTACTGAAAGGTCCCAGGTTCGATTCCGGTCAAGGGCATGTACCTGGGTTGCGGGCACATCCCCAGTGGGAGATGTGCAGGAGGCAGCTGATGGATGTTTCTCTCTCATCGATGTTTCTAACTCTCTATCTCTCTCCCTTCCTCTCTGTAAAAAATCAATAAAATATATTTAAAAAAAAAAAAAACCGGATTTGTAAAATGCATGCTGAAGTCTACCACACAAGCAGACTTCCTATTTAATGCGTGACGTCTTCCTTCCCAACGCCTAAAGTAAAGTGTTCTACAAACAAACGGGGTGCAGGCCATCGAGGGGGCCATGAATAATGGGTCTCAGGCTGGGGACAGGGCACAGTGCCGAGGGGCCAACTGGTAGGTCACATCCAGTTTCCCAAAGCGGCTTGAGCTGAGGGACACCAGGGGCGCCAAAGACACGGAAGGCTGTCACCTACACAAACCAGGCAAACAACGGGAGAGAATCTGAGGAACACAGAAAGGCGGGGGGGAGGGGGGGGGTCCTTTAGGTCAGGCCTGAAGCCACCATGTGGTATTAGACTCCTTGCTTTCTTCAGGTCCAAACCACACAGAAGCACCATCAGGTGGGAGACTATGGAACAAATGATATCACAAGAGAACTTGGTGCCTGTTCTATAATTCGACTTCTGGCTGATAATCCAATTGTAATGAATCCAGCCATCCCCCGATACACACTTAGTGCTTCCCCACTCGACTGGGAGCTTCAAAAGGACCAGGATTTGTGTTCATTTCGTGCGGCCGGGTAACCCCAGGACCCAGCCCAGACCAAAGTAGTCACTTAACAAACAGATTTTCCTTTGATGCATCACTGAATGACACAACCACTAGTGGGGTCAACAATGCATGGGTAACACTACAGCCCCCTTATAGCAAACCAAGGCTCAAAGGAATGAAGTGACTTTTCCCTGGTCATCCAGCCAGAAAACAACCAGGAGCCAAGACTCGAGGGAGACCTGGAGCCCAGATCATCGAGCTCCTGATCCAAGACACTCTGCACTATGAAGTCCGCATCAAACTCAGTCAACAAGCCCGGCCGGCCAGCTTGGCTCACTGGTTGAATGTCAACCTATGAACCAGGCTCCCGGTCAGGGCACATGCTCAGGTTGTGGGCTCGATCCCCAGTGTGGGAGTGTGCAGGAGGCAACTGATCAATGATTCTCTCTCCTCATTGATGTTTCTATCTCTCCCTCTCCCTCTCCCTTCCCCTCTGAAATCAATAAAAATATATTCTTAAAAAAAGAGAAAAAATTCAGTCAATAAGCAGCCAAACAACACAGTTCGCAAAAATAACCCAGGGCAAGCCTCATCCCACTGCAGCCGAATGACACTCACTTGCGTCTCTGATTTACTAAAATCAACTGAGAAAGAACGGGTCATGTTCAAAACAATGAAGTGACTCCCAGTCAGAGATGCATGCCCTGCGATCAACCAGCAACATAAATACAGAGACCCATGCTGTCCGCTGACCTCACAAAAGGAGTCCCCTCTACAGAAAACAAGCAGCTCCCCAGTGCAGGCTGCCCAGGCCTCACAGGCATGGCCCGTCTGCAGCTTCCCCGAGCAGCATCGAGTGACAGGCCACTTGGCCACCTTGGGCTGCAGGGGCCACAGCTTAAGGGAGAGGCCATCGGCCACCTGGGTCTCAGACAGACAGCAATTAAAGTCAGAGCTGTCCCCAAGGGAAGGGGCAGAAGAACTGGACCAGGTCTTTGTTCTCTCAAGCCTGTGATGCCCAAAAGAATCTCACTGTCACGTTTTCCCAGGTCCCGGCTCAGTACTAGGTCTTCTGACCTCATGTCATTTTTATTCTTCTAGCTTCTTTTTCTTTTCCGGCTCCCCCTCAATTTATTTTTATTTTTATTAATTTCAGAGAGGAAGTGAGAGGGGGAGAGAGAGAGAAACATCAATGATGGGATAGAATCATTGATTGGCTGCCTCCTGCACGCCCCACACTGGGGATCGAGTCCGCAACCCAGACATATGCCCTGACCAGGAATCAAACCTTGACCTCCTAATTCATAGGTCGACGCTCAACCACTGGGCCACACCGGCCAGGCCCCTCCCCCCAGTTTATAATCGTGGGTGTTTGTTTATGTCTCCATGACCCCTTCAAAGGAAAGGCACTCTATCAACCTAATAGAAATAAGTATTAATATTCATGGGCATACTTAACACCCAAACCGGTTACGAGTGAGCCACATGGAGAGAAGGCAGCAGATGATCTCAGGCTAGCTCTAAGGTGCCATGCAGTGAACTCAAAAGGGGATTACTTCAGATCCTAAAGCGAATAGAAAATGAGAGTCCAGGTGACTGGGCTCTGCCACCTAACCAGTAGTCATGTGGCTCAGCCTATTATCTATAAAGTAAGAAGTTAGAAAAATCAGCTCAAAGCTATTTCATTTCTTAGTGCATCAAACAAATAATGGCCAATACTTAGATACCACATATCATATGCCAGACTGCTGTGAGCGCTTTACATTTGTTAATTCATTTAATCCTCTCAACAATCTTATACAGCAGGTGCTCTTAGGGACTCCATTTTACAGACGGGAAAACGCAGGCAGAGAGGAGGTAAGGCTGGCCCCAGCTCCCAGCTAATAAGGGATGGAGCCAGGATTTGAACCCAGGCAGGCTGGCCTCAGAGTCTGTGTGCAAACCAATGTGCTGTCCCATGGGATGGGAATTCCAGTGTCTGGGGGGAGGAGGATTATAGTAGTGTGAATTTAAGTCGCCTTCACTACAGTACCTCCCATCACCACGTAATCCGGAGTCAGTAGACCACTAAGACTATCTAACACCCCCTTATATATGGTCCCTTCAAAGAGTGGAGTGAAACTAGAGGAGCCCAGAGGGTATTAGCAGCCCACCGGAAAGCGGGTCTTTGTCCGTCAATCCTAACTGTTGTAAATAAAGACAGTTTTTAATAAGTGCCTTTTTAATAAGGCACATCTGTTTCCTGGAAAACTTTACTTTTGTCAGCTACACTCCCAAGTAATTTGGCTCTGCTTTACAGCTTAAGGGACCAAGTATTTATCATCAGACTCAATTAGTTCATTGTTTTCTTTCTAGATTTGGTCCCTAATGTGCACCATCAGTTGAGAGCCACAAGGTGGCGCGCTAATACAGGAAATGAACGGCTGAGGTTGGCTCCGGAGCAGATGAGGAGGATTTCAGAGACAGGACTGTGCTCCTTCCCAGGTCACAGGACACCCAGCTCTTGCAAAGCGCTTCTCTGCACACTTACTTTCTGAGGAAATCTTCCAGACCCTGGCGCCGCTGGTCCACATGCTGGCGATTGTTCATGTTGAAAAACAGGTTTTTAGACGGAAGCTCTGGCAGTTGTCTAATGAGAAAGAAGCAAAAATTTTATCATCATCAGATCAAGATGGCTTAGTTACAGAAATCCCTCAGTGAAAGCACATTACGCATAATAACCATCGCACAGTGACTGTATATTACATATGTATTATATAATAAGAATAAGAGAATATTAACTTAAAGAAAACCCCATTTTTAAACATTGTTGAGGCCTTTCATGGTCAATACCCATGAAAGCTGGTGGAATTCAAATGATAAATTTTAAATTCAGATGCTGTAGCCACAAAACTAACTAAAACTATAATTATAATCAAGAATGCCTGTAAAATCCATAATTTATATCTCACGCATATCCAAGTTCTAAATATTGAATATATTAATTAAGTCTCCTCGATATATCCTTTAAGTCACTTACACCAGCAATGCATTACTCTGGAGTCTCTGCCTCAGCCACACAAATTCTCTGTATCTCCTTCGTACACAGGACGTCTTCATTGTAAAACACATGCTATTGGTCTGTTCGGAGAAAAGAAACATATAAGCCTTACTTGAGGGAAAAGATGCTTTTTTTTTTACATCTATGACTCACTATATGCCTCCAAATTTATGTAAGTAGGATTTTTAGCCCTGGCCGGTTTGGCTCAGTGGAAAGAGTGTCAGCGTGCGGACTGAGCTGTGTACTGGGGGCCCAGGTTCAATTCCGGCCAAGCACACATACCCGGGTTACGGGCTCGGTCCCCAATGGGGGGTGTGCGGGAGGCAGCCAATCAATGATTCTCTCTCATCATGTTTCTATCTCTCTCTCTCCCTCTCCCTTCCTCTCTGAAATCAATAAAGATATATTAAAAAGAATAAATAAATAATAAACTAATCCGACTGGCCAGGCGTTTTAAAAATAAATAAATAAATAGGATTTTTAAACCCAAAACTACATGTGCATTTAAACCAGATTCAAATCTTCTACATCACCCATCAATATGGCAGCCCTGAAGACAGCTGGGCTGACATAAATGTTGTCGGGGGTGAGCCATTCACTCCCGGAGTCCTGAAGTAGCCTCCTGCCCACCTATCTGCACTGCTTTCAACAAAGAATCATAAAAACCGAATCCTGAAGCATAAACGACCAGTAAGAACTGAGGGTCATCCACTGCTTTTTAACACCTGCCATCTGTCTGAGCAGCTGGAGAAGCCCTTGGGGGCTAGAGACACCTTTTCCTGGTCCCTGACGTGACATCACAGAAGCTGTCATGACCGTGACAGGCCTGCACTACAGATCACACAGATCACCAGGAATCCCGAAATCACTTCTACTTTTTTCAAATATTTTTTTATTGATTTCAGAGACAGGACGGGAGAGGAAGAAAGAGAGAAACATCGATGATGAGAGAGAATCATTAATCGGCTGCCTCCTGCATGCCCCCTAGTGGGGATGGAGCCTGCAACCAGGGTATGTGACCTGGCCGTAATCAAACCAGCGACCTTCTGGTCCATGGGACATTCGCTCGACCACTGAGCCACACTGGCCAGGGCCTGAAATCACTTTTAAACAAGAGAAGAGCATTTCCCTTCTCTGGCAGGTGGGAGGGAACCTAGTCTGAGTTGGAAAGGGGTGTGAGGCCCTGGGACAAGCATCCTCATGGGTGACCCAAATTCTAGTCCTGGCTCTGCTAGAGGGCAAATCACTTCCACTCCAGCTCCCTGAATAACACAGGGGTGAGCCAGTGCATGCCTACTTCCCAGGGGGGCTGTGAGGATGGGTAACAAGCACTTGGCAAATGTCATCCATTAACATCGGTATTCCTTACCAGATGCTGGTTTCCTTCCAGCTACCCTAAGGCAAGACGCGGAAAAAGCCACCCCCAGAGTCCCCGTCCTCAGCAAAATGGCAACACTTTCCTTTGGGTAACAAGAGATCCAGAGTCCCCGTCCTCAGCAAAAAAAAATGGCAACACTTTCCTTTGGGTAACAAGAGACTGGCAAATGTTTGTCCACTGATTTTGTCAGAAGGCCTCTATTCTCTATATTTATTTCAAATTTCTATTTCAAAATCTTTACGTTACCAAATGAGAGATGTTTTGCCTCCAAGATTTGTATTATTTCAAAAAGTACTTTTCCATCATTTTAAAAACACCCAGCAGTTGTTTACCTTGGGAAATGTGATTATGTGCATTCCTTCTTTTCTTATCTTTTTTTTTTTTTTTTGCATTCCTTCTTAAACATTTAAGAGGTATCTGAGAACATCTGGGAATTCCTCAAAAAACCTTGGCTGAGGAGAGGTTACATTAAGAGACCTACCCCCAAAAGAAAGATTGATCTAAATCCCTTCATCTTTGACAACAGGGCAGCCAAATGTGCTGGAGTCTGTGGCACAAGAACACTCCATGTGTGGATTTCAAAGCAGACCAGGGCCTCAGGCCGATGTGATCCCCGGGGAGTAAGAAAGCAGGCGTTTACAGCAGAATGAGCCCTAACGGGCCTGGGCAGGGGCCCTTCTCAGCGCTCCTCCCCGGAGAGTGCCAGCACTGAGGGGCTCCGTCCACACTGGTCGGTTCCAGCTCCCTTACTTATCTCTGCTCAGATTCATTGTGGATGCCAGCAACTGAGATCCAGCGGGTGCCGACACCAGACAAAGGTCTGTCTGCCTCGAAGTCCTGCGTTTGCAGAACAAGTTCAGGAGAATATATACCATAGACTACCCACCTCTACAGTCCACATGTTTAAAATGCTAAGTAAAAAAATAAACAAACAAACAAAATGCCAAGTAAATGCTAAGATTTCAGAGTCACCTGATATAATTTCCCTTAAGATTGACTTACATGAGCTCAACGCTGGCTTCTCTACCTGCAAAGCTCTCTGGCACACCATCGAGGACTCTCCAGTCCCCCATCGGCTCTGAACTGTACAACGGAATCAGACGACACTGAGATCGCTAGTTTACCAAGTTCCTCTAGACCGATTTGCTTGTGTCTGCTATCTAACAAGCCAAGACTTCTTCATTGTCCATTTTTTCGCGTATCAGAGAAACACCAGAACACCACCCAATGTCTGTGGCACCCACCATTTCTAGCTCGGAGTGGACATTTCTGAATTCACATCATTAACTCCCTGAGGAGAATCAAATTTCACCCCTACCATAAAGTATGTGACAAGGACCCATAAATGTTTTAGAGGAAGCTAAAAGGCAACTAAAGGATTTAATTCCATTTTCTTTTCTTTTTTATTAAGGGAGAGGGAGAGAAACATCGATGTGAGAGTGAACATCAATCGGCTGCCTCCTGCACGCATCCCCACCAGGGATGAAGCCCACACCCCGGGCATGTTGTGCCCTGACCGGGACCGAATGGGCAACCTTTTGGTTCACAGGATGACACCCAACCAACCGAGCCACACACCTGCCAGGGCAAGAATTTCATTTCATTTTCAAAGGCTTAATCGTAATTTCCCACACAGAATTTACATCTGGTGTGACTTTATGAGCAAAACCAAGACAATATCAACATGCAAAGCACAACCTGGCAATGGCCTTCAACACAATCACCAAAAAAAAGCAGCCTGGCCCTGACTGGTTTTTCTCCGTGGTTAGAGCGTCGGCCTGTGAGCCAAGGGTGGCAGGTTTGATTCCTGGTCAAGGGCATGTACCTATGTTTCAGGGGCAGGTTTCCCAGCCCTGGTAGGGACGTGTGCAGGAGGCAACCAATCAATGTGTCTCTCTCATGTCAATGTTTCTCTTTCTCCCTCTCTCTCCCCTCCTCCCTCTCTTCCACTCCCTCTGGAAATCAATGGGGAAAAATATCCTTGGATGAGGATTAAAAAGAAATAAAATAAAATAAGAGTGTTTACTTTGTTTTTCTAAGTTGGAAAAACTTAGAAAGAAGGAAGGTGTATGGCCAGTGACTGCGTGTCCAATACAGCACACCAACTCAGTTACTTGCAATGGGAAGACTGAAGGTGGCTAAAGGTTACTTCACCTGTGCTGTCCTCACAGATACACCTGGGCCTGTTGCTATGCCCCCGAGAAAAGCCCCGACGAAATCAGGTGGGGAAAGTGACTAATTCATGATCAGGACCATAAAACTCTAACATGTGGGCCACGTCTGGCCGGCCACTGATCTTCACACAGAGTGTCACTGGAACACAGCTGCACTCATTCATTCATGCCTTGTTTGAGGCGGCTTCCCTCCAAGAGCAGAATCGAGGAGTGTCGAGGGAGACAGCGGAGCCCACGGAGCGGAAAATATGTACTGCCTGCCCTTCACAGGGAACGTGTGCTGACCCAGCTCAAGAGGACCCCAGAAGGCCACACACCCAGGACATTGCTCAAGAGACTATGACAGAGCATTATTTCCAAATAAAGAACATCACTGCTAGTTATTGTGTTGATTACTCAGAATCTAGACTAAGGCAAAATAATAGCACATATCCAGTTCCGACGTTCTTACTCTACATATGAAACACTGCACATCTCCTCTCCAGAGAACCCTACATCCTCTCAAAACAGATTTATCGAGTGGTATACTTATTACCTGGAAATATGCTATCACAGATCATAAATACCATTAATGAGGTATAAATAGTCTTTAACTGTGAATTTTAGAAATATTCACATCTTCATGAAGTATTAATATTAACAAAGGTATAATAAGGAATTCAAATAAGAAATATCTCAACTTTAGGAACCATCTTATTGCTTCCTTGAAGGTACAAGCATTAGCTGTGATCATTAAAATTCAGTTCTTTGAATTCAGAAAGCTTTACAAATGTCCACTGTAAGTATATCGAAGTATCCCCTCAAACATATGCGACTGAAAATGACTACTGACTGCATACTCACATGAATACAGATTTCATAGTCGATGTAAGAATGCCAGAAGTCCTCCTTCTGAATCCTAGGATCCCGCACCCAGACACTCACGAACTCCTGTAAGGGCGCCATAAACAAACGAGTTTCAGGACTGCAAGGAGGACTGGGGAGGGAGGAGAGGAGTGACTGTACGAGGACAAAGCAGAAATGAGCTCTGACCAACGTGGTTATGACCCTCTAAAAAACAAGAAGTTAATGAATCGGGCACCACAGGAACTCCAAAAAAAGAACTGTTTTGCCATAAAACGTAATTTTTTAAATAATGCAATACCAAGCTGGCTGCGCTGCTGCAGAGTCTCAAAGATTATGTGAAGACAGTTAAGAAAATATACCTTAAAACAGATTCTTGATTTTTAATCTGCAGAACAGGTTCACGTTTTTCTCCAGTTTCTTGCTTCCTTCATCTCTCACAATTCAAAGTCTAGGCCCTGCCTGACCTGTCACTTCCCAGAACACAGGTCAGAAAGAGCAGCAAACGTCATTTGAAAAGCAAGCGCTGAGAGTTGACAATGAGTTTGTGTACGCACCCCAGCTTCATGAGGATAAACTTCATTTAAAAATTTGATAATGTTGCCCGGCCGGTGTGGCTCAGTAGTTGAGCATCGACCTATGAATTAGAACACAGTTCCATTCCCAGTCAGGGCACATGCCCGGGTTGTGGGCTCAATCCCAGAGTGGGGCATGCAAGAGGCAGCCAATCAGTGTTTCTCTCTCATCACTGATGTTTCTATCTCTCTCTTCCTCTCCCTTCCTCTCTGAAATAAGTAAAAAGATATTTTAAAAATAGATAATGTAAAACAAAAATGTATTATGTTTGGCATGATAAATTTTAAAGTATAATTTATTCACTTGGTGATTACAAATTTGTTCATGGAATTTAATTTTCAATATTTTAACTTTGGGGCTAGAAAAGGGGAGCTCCAAGGCTGAAACTTATGCCATTTCTTACTGCTTTGCTTTGGCACGTCTGAGAGGCAGGCAGAAGCCAAGCAGTAAACACACCAGACCAGAAGCAGAAGAAAGATTGTGGGGTTTTCTGGAGAGAGCACCTCCGTCCTATTGCGCAAATACTAAAGTGAGAATTTCCACACAGAGGATTCTAGAAAGAAGAAACAGTCCAATTCCCTGAAAATAACCTTCGCCACCTATCGAGCTTCACCTTCTGAGACCACGCGCCCTCTGTTCCTGCACTTGAGACCTCTGCCCGCCCCGTGTCCTCAGTAGATAAGGACTCTGAGTTAATGTTCCAAAAGGTCTTATTTTAACATGTTTTCGTGTGTTTTTAGTGTCATTCAGAAGACAGGCAATAAAAACAAGGTCTCAAAATAGTGATGCTGTAAGTGTGTTGGCTATTATTTCTCAAAAGCACTTTCTAAACTGTTAGGGGCCCTATAGACCCAAAGGGAAATTGTTAAAGCAAATTGTTAAAGCAATCGCCCCAGCTCCATAGAGTGTGAATGGGTCAAGATAGAGGACCTCCTGCCCAGAGATGGAAACTGAAACAAAACCCAGGAAGCTGGCCCTCCGGCTGTCCACATTTCATGTGTGAGTGTGTGTTTGCGTGTGTGTGTGTGTGTGTGTGTGTGTGTGTGAGAGAGAGAGAGAGAGAGAGAGAGAGAGAGAGAGAGAGAGAGAGAGAGAGAGAAGGGGGGAAGAAACGTGGATTGGCTGCCTGAGAGAGAGAGAGAGAGAGGAGACTGACTCATTTTCCTGGAGTACTTTTCACACATCCACAGTCTTAGAGGAATGAACCAATCATCAGTAAACCGATGCACACAAGGACAAACAGGCTAGGAAGAGAAGACCAGAGCATTTATCCCTCCAAACACCCCACACACTCAGGGCTACATTCTGACGTTCATGGGCCCTTCTCCAAAAAAATACATTCAAAATCAGACTTTATGACTTCACTGGCATAAAGATGAATATATTACTATTATATATGAAAACCTTTTCTTTGACCTAAAAGTTCATTTTATTTTACTGATTAAAAAAAAAAATTTTTAAAACAGCCCTGCCAGCATGACTCAGTGGTTGAGCTTCAACCTAGGAACCAGGAGATCACGGTTCGATTCCCAGTCAGGATGCCCAGGTTGCAGGCTCAATCCCCAGTGTGGGGCATGCAGGAGGCAGCCGATCAATGATTCTCTCTCATCACTGATGTTTCTCTCTTTCTCCCTCTCCCTTCTTCTCTGAAGTTAATAAAATGTGTATTTTTAAGTGATAAAAAAATAAAGTTAAGCCATTTCCATGGGCTCCAAAAAGCAATGTGGGCCCAGGGCACTGTGCCTGATGGAGAGGTGGGCAGAGCCTGCCCTCTGAGCAAGGCGGATGGCTGCCCACAGCTGACAAGGTGATGACTCCGCTTTGAACCAGGGGATCCTAGTCATCAGGTCACATGTGAGCCACACTCCCTCTCAGGGTGCTGGCAGCTGTTTTTCCACTGGAGGGGCAGAAGTCCTTAAATAGACCCAAAGGGAAATTAAGTATTTCCAACAGCTCGATGTTCCACATTAACGGGAGCCGTGCACCTGCCGCTGAGTCAGTGGCCTTTACGCAGATCAAACAAAAACTAGGAAAACACACTTGTCAATTGGCTACAAATTTGTGATTTTTTTAAAAAAAATGTTTCTGAACTTAAGCTTGTAAAATCCACAGCAACTCATACCTCTGACCACTCAGCATACTAGTGGGTGACGAAGGATGACTAAGCGTTCTGGAAAAAATCAGGGCTTATTGTCCCTATTGGTTTGCTACTTCCAGTCATTAACATATAAGCATTGAGTAACATGTCCCCCATCATGGGGAGAGCCCTGAAATGATGGTCGCAAGACTAGGGGGAAATTCTGTCACCCACTTCCTAAATTATGAATGTATTCACCAAGCCTCTGTTTCCACATCTGGAAAGGGGGAGGAATGGCTGTCCATCCTACCTCAGCTGTCTATGAGGAGAATCAAATTATAAAGTACTGGTGAAAACACGGGGAAATTTTTCATTAAGTGCTACATGAATAGAAAGCAGTAGTATACTTTTCTATGTAAAATATTATTACATAGAGAGGGAAACATCTGTAAATAGAGTCAACAATAAAAAAAAAAGAAAAAGAAGAAAGGGAAATGCTTACAAACCCAAAGCACCGAGGTCTTCATACAAACATTGGCAATAAGGAAAGGTTAACCAAATGTGTACGTGTGTGTTTTTTTAAGTAAAAATGATTAAGTACCCAACAGCAAACGCTCTAACACTGTAATTTTTCAGCAAAATGCGGAGTGACCTAAAAATTCCCTAGTACGTACTCGGGGCAAGGCCTTCCTTACTTGTGAAAGGAATGGGCAGCACAGATTTGTAAAGGATCACCCCGCTGTGTCTCAGTGGGTTAGGATTCTCAGACTCTGCCATGATGGCTACTCATTAAGTCTAATCTTTAATCTTTTGGGAGAAGGGTGCATTGAAGGCATACTTTAAAACCATGCTGGGGGGGAATGAATTCTAAAAACACCCCAATGCATTTAAATGCACACTCAAATTTAACGATGGTGCTAAGGCTCCAACCATCTTTTCAATCCCGAAAAGCTTTAACTTGGTTAGGGTGCTAGATATCACTCTTCTTCTGTGGATGGTGAACTTTCTTCCTCCCTGTCCTCTTAAACGCTGCTGTGGCCCCCA